ACAAAGCTGTCTTCTCACTCCCGGTGGCATACTGGTTCAACTTGTGTACTTGCTGGTGTATTAGTTCAACGTATAACTCTTTTTTCCCCCCGTAAACCAAGCCTCAGTATTTCTATCCCCAACTGCTCCAAATCAAATTTTGTGAGGAAAAATGTCACCATTTATTTTTTATATCATATATTTGTTCATTCATCTCAAAGCACTGTAAAACTAAAAGTGCTATATCACGGTAAATGATCGGAGATAAATGTTCATACATCAGCTTATTCTGTAAATAACCAAATTAACAACAATTAATTTCTGACCTGCTAAAAGTGGTGCTTTGAACAACCTCAGTTTGCAGAAAAAAATATTTTTTAACCAGAATAATGAGCAAACAGTTATACTTTAATAGATTACTGTTGTCTCAAATGTCAAACTTTTTACAAGCATTCATGCCAATGCATGTGATGGATGTCACACTAGGAGAATTAATCACGGCTGTGAATCTGTGACGGTAGTTTCCTTTAAAATGTTCTTGTCATATTTTTACCATTTCAATGAAAGATGGAGCATTAATATGAACAATAAAGACCATCCATTCATTCAAAAATGATAATTTCATCATCTTTAAAATGTTCATCAGTAGAAATAATCTGATATTTCTGATGAAAGTGGCCCTGGCTGCTCTGGAACTGCTAAAGCTAGCTGCTACCACTGCAAGCAACCACACATGTGAATAACAGTAAAACAAAGGTGAATGTTTATTTAAGGTCCATAAATCTACATTTGCATGAACTGCAATGACATTTTGTAGTTTCAGTTGTTTTGAGTAACCATTTTTTTATTTAGGTCTTGGCCTTGCTACGATTACCTGTTAGCTCATCGGTCCAATTAGAACAAATATCTGCTTCTCAAAAGTGAGTTTGTTCAAGTTAGACATTTGCTGGGTCCAAATTCAGTGGCTGATTAATGAGGAGCATTTTAAGACCAGTTACATCACAGCAGAGTGACAAGAATAATAAAAGTGAACTTGGAAGAATGTCCAAATTTGAAGGCTACTCAAAATGCGGCCATATTTTCCAAAAATCACAAAGATGGGTCTAGTGTGTCGTTGTTGGCTTCTCCAATCTGATGATTCATCAACTATTTTGTAGCGGGCAAAGCAAGAAGACAGCTGTTTCATTCAAATCTGGCCTAAATCAACAGGGTGGGTGGGGTCGTTACCAGAATGCTGACCCTGATTTTGGACACAGCCATTGATTGTTCAAAACCGCGCCATAAAACCCAGCTTCAAAACATCAGAACTGTTGCTTTAGGGTGATTGCTGGCAAACAATCTGAACCTCAGTCTGAAGGTTAAAGGTTGAATATGGAACAATTAAATAAAAAGTTATATTAAAAATAATAATACTTCCACGGGGCGTTTAGAGGTGTGCAGAATGAAAGTACAATATTTCCTTTAAAAGCTATGTTTTAATAAAAAATATCAAATATTTATTTTCACGAGCATAACACTGGATTTATGTTTACATCTACCAGCCAATAGAGGGCTCCATTGCGGATTACCAAACACCGTTCGGCACAGCAAGGCTGATACAGTGGAAAATGGCGGACTGTGTCATCATCCTTCTCAGAAAAGGACCATAAAAGATCTAAAACCAGAGTGAGTTTAGGTGAAGCCTACGACAGATGGACCCAAATAAAAATGTTCACAGTATAACCTGGTATCCCGACGGCTGGAAACCTTGTCCTCTTGTTGTGACTATAATCTCCACACACTAGATGTCGGCGTGGTGTTCGTGTTCCATACTCAACCTTCAAAGACAGTTGCAGGAAAAAAATAGTTTGAGAGGGGTTCAATCTGTAAAATAGGATGTGTCGGCTATAACGTTAAAATCGTGGGCTCTGAAAATATGTAGACGATGAATTTTAATAAGGTTTTGTAAAAGCCGAAGAAAATGCACTAATGCACCATCTAAATCAGTATTTAAGAGGACACATTATGCTAAATGCACGTGCTTCCATGTGGGTCTCTACTGCCTCTATAAACATCGAAATGTGACACAAATCCATCCATCTGTTTTCCGTCAGGTTGGGGTATTATGAGCCTAAAAGGAGCCGTTTTAAAATGTCCTGTTTGTGATGTCATAAACAGGTAAAGAGAAGTAAAACCACCTATCTTATGTTGCTGGAGGAGCAGCGGCTCTACTCTAAGCCCCTCACAGATATCAGAACTTCTCCGCTTATAGCAGCCTAAGCGGAGGGTTGGGGTGGGTGTGGCCAGCTCTAGCTTGTTTTCTTAAAGTGCCAGAACCCTGAAACAGTTCATTCTGGAAGGTACTGAAAATGTCAAATACATAAACTGATGAAATTGCTTTATGCGAGAGGCATTTAATGCAAAGAGCCTCATGAACATATTTTGTATTGACCATAGACCCTAACCCTAGCTTCAAATTAAAAAAATATATGTCCCCTTTAAAATTATTAGTACTGTGGGTACAATGATGACCATGTGATAAAAACAGATAAACACTTTGCCACCAAGATAATATCCTAAATATTATTGGGTCCATAAACATTGTCATTGACTCAGGAATCATCTGCAGCTGTCTTGAGTGAGGGGGCATCAAGCCAAGGCAGGGCACACTGACGCCCCCACCCAGAGCATGTGTGCCCACTCATTAAGGTCGGCAGCCACCAAGCCAACACCATCAGTCACTGACAACGATGACAGCAGGCTATGCAAAGGGGAGGAGTTGGGTTTTGACTTTGGTAAAAACCACAAGCTATGAAGCATGAGCACACTCACACAGAAAGTGCCACTGTACGCTCTCTGTTCTCCATTAAAACGTTCAAACAGACACAGCTGCTACTGGAGCAGGAATTGTTCTCTGAGCCTGAATCTCTGGGAAAAGTATTGATATCCAGACTCTGCTGCTTCAAATCTTCAGAAGACTAATCATAATAAAGACGCGGAGCGCCACTTTGGAAGTGAAACTATGTTGCTGCAAGAGGCGCCTTGCCTCCTTCTCTCGCCTTTCACCCCAGTGTTGAAGATCTGTTAGTCAGAGGCTGGGGAGTTTTCAGTCTCCAGGGGCACATCCCTCTGAACCGTCTGCCAAGCTTCTCCTTTCTCTCTCCTCCAGTCTTTCTTTCTTTTCCCCCTCCTCCTTGGTTTGCTTTTCACCACTACTTCAACTCCTCATGCTGAACTTTCTCCTTAACTTTGACCTCTTATCAACCTCTGTCATTTATCCCTACTTTCACCCCCAAAATGTTTCACTCTCACTCTGCTATCTCCCCTTCCGCCCCTCTTCCTAACGCGGCGATCCAGCTCCCTTGCAACTGTGCATAATTAGGCCTAAACACAAGCCTGTGCTGGCTCACATCTGGAAGAGGTTTGGACATGGCAGTTTCCTACCAAGTCGACTAAATATTTAGGTTGAGAGTTACTGCGTGTGGATGAACTCATGATGGGGAGGGGGGGCTGGAGGTAAAGAATATGAGAGAAAATCTGGATGACTGGGTCTCCTGGAGGAGAGCTGAGGATGGGGAAGATAAACGATAAGGGAGTATTTTAGCTCAGGACTTCGTTAGTAAAACCATGATGGTTTTGGAGGTTGCTCCTTCATGGATGGCAGGAACAACAAACAGCCAAGTAATGGTTTTAATAAACACATCCCCATTGGGATTTCCCATGATGCTGAGGGGCCTCAGCTGGAATGTTCACAGGGGCCAGCTGTGGTGCGTTACACGAAGCAGCCAGCCCCCGGAAGCCCAGCACCCGGTGTCCTCCAGCCTTCTCCTGCTCAGCAGGATGGAGATGCAGCCTCGGGAGAGAGGGCTGTCCAAGCCAGGCACGGGAACGCTCCCCTACTGCACCTGGGATACTGTCTGCCCTCTCCGAGCAGACTGAAGAATGTCAGGAATAACACACACATCAACACAACTTCCCACATTCCACATCTGGAGCTAATGTCACGAGCAACGATGGGAACACGGGTGTATGGAGAACTCTCTGGATCATCAGGAAAACAAACTTTCCAGGCTGCACATTTCTCTGGGAAGGTAGCAGAGAATGGCGAGCTGAAGTGTTTGCGCCTCGTAAACGTGTCACGGGACGCCAAGCAGCTGCACCAAAACATCTTGACCAAAATTAGTAGGAGCGGGAAAAGAAGATTATCCTCAACCACCTCAACCTCTGCCACAAAAGCCACTCGGTCCTCCGGTTTTCAGCAATATGTTCCCCAGATGTTTATCAGGAGGCCTATAAATGGACGGCTGGCTGGCTTATGCTCTCCTGGGGCATAAATCCCCCGACTTTACCTCATGTGCTGCTTCCAGCTGGACTCTCAAACTTTATATTTTTCTCCCCCTGTGCCCATACAACACATTTCCCAATGAGCTACAGTGCAGAAACTTGCTGTGGGAATGAGCAACATCCTAAGAAATCCTGAGCAGCTGTGAAGAAAGTTCTGCTCTGGCACAAAACACCACCTCAAAAAATGTGTCACTAATAGATCAGCGATCTGTCATGAATGACTGTGTGTTTTGGCCCACGACGAGGCGCTTTCAAGTCAGCTCCAAACAGACCACACGAAAAATAAAAATCCCTCAATAATTAAAAATATCAAACTGCTGTCCTGCTTTCAGATGGTTTTCATGTCCTCAGGAGGATACAGATAGAAACGTTTGAAGTGGGGGCCCACAAGGCCACCAGTTAGACGAGGAGTCTGATATGAAAAACCCAGAAAGTGTTTGTGTTGATTCTAGTTTTGCAAAGCCGAGTCAGCTGGATCATGTGTGCGGATTCACAGAGTGATCACAGAGGTTTACAGATGCTTTACGGGAAAAAAGGGAGAAGATCACATTGTAAACCTTTGACCTGACAAGTTTTCTCACTGCTGCTGTTAAAGTGGGTCAAGGTGGAGTGGACCTGACTGGGTCATATAGTAACTCTTAATTACTGAGAATTAAAACATGATCATAAGCTAAAGAACACCAAGATGTTAAACTCACAGGGTCACTGTTCTGTTGGGGAACAAGCTGCCATCCGGAAGTTCCACCAGCTCCTCCTTGCTGCAGCTGACCCTCTTCCCCATGGGCTGGACGCCGTGCGCCTTGGAGCGCTCCTCCGAGCAGCTGCAGCCGCTGGTGGCGGCGAGCAGCCCGGGACAAGCCTGGGACAGTCTTGTTTCGGAGGCGGACAGCAGGAGCAGCATCAGTACCAGACGCCCCGGCAGCCAAGGGATGCCAAAGGCAAACATTGTCCTCCGCCTGGTTCTCACCTCAGCTGCACCTCCGCCTCCAGTCATCCCATATCTCCACCATGGAGGGCAAAGAAACAAACAAATGCTTTTAATGAACGTTGATGGTGGAAACTCCTCCGATCAACAAAGAACACCCTTCATCTTCTCGACCCTGAAATATTCAGTGCCGCTGATTTTCCATCTGTCCCGTTATGTCACGGCAGCGCGAGCGCACAACTTTCTTTGGTCCAAAAAGGGAATAAATCCAGAGGGTGGGAGTCCATCAGAGATTAAACCAGCAAATTAATCACTGGGATCTGCCTCTTTAAAAAAGTGTATGGTAGTTTGAACAAATTGAAGAGGTTTATATTTTTCCTGGATTCCTGGGAGTGCCCAAATGACCGTTGTTTGTCCCTGAAAGTCAGTCCTGATTCACGACCAGCGAGTCACAAAAATATCCATAAGCAGTTCAACAGCAGAGGATTTCCAGTGATTTTTTTCACTTTTCCGCTGTTTCTAAAAGTTTCCCTCGCCTTGATTTTCCCGATCCTGGAGCTCCACGCACGCACGCGCCCTCCCTAAACTGAAATTAAAGAAGAAAAAATAATTTAGCAGGAATCCGAGTGATCTTGATCTTCTTTCACGTAATTCCGAAAAATATGAAATTAAATTAAAAACTAGCGGGTTTTGCCTGCTTGCTCCTGTCACGCTCCAATCTCACTCAGTTTAGGCTCCACTAACCCAAGTGCGCCCGTTCCGCCTGCGCTCTGCTCCGCGTGGTCCTAGCGCGTCCGGCTTTTACGCACAACCCAACTGGATTAGTCTCATCACACTCTTAAAGTTTGACCAAACCAAATTACAGCGAGATGCGGGAAAGTAAAATAAAGTTTTATTCTGTAAAAGTTTTTTAACAGTAGATATTTAAAATCAGATTTCAGCTCTGCTGTTTGGATGATCCATCATCAGAGTTGTTTGTCTCCTTGTTTTGAATGAGCCGTTTCCATCTACAACACAGGAAGGTCCCAGTTTGATTGTGGGCCTGGGCTGTGAGAGCAAACTGAAGTTATGAATGAATGCTGAAGGTCTCTTGTGTATTGTGCTGCAGAGCAGATCAAAGCCTCTTCATTCAATCAGCGGGAAGCAGAGGAAGCAAAGACTTTTATAGATAGCCTGCACTCCAATAAATTTTATATTGTTCCTGCTGAAGGATGCATGATAGTTCAGAGGAGTTTTATCTTGAAAATTCACAGCCTGCCGCCATATAGAGACAACTCCACAATAAGAGTGGCGATATTTTATTCTCAAAGAGAAAATATTAGACTTTGTTACATGCATGTGCAGCAGTAACCATGGTAACGTGGCAGAATGAAAATGAAGGTGTTTCTTGGTTTAAATAGGTTTGCTCCTCCAACAGAACATGCATTAATAGTTAAGTTGCACAAGATGTCTGCTTCCACAAACAAATGCTCAGATTTAGATGAACAGTCCTGCTCTGAAGCAATATTATTTTTCCCAAACCACAATAATTCTGATGCCATTTTTATTTAAGGAAAAATAAAAAAGAGTATTTTCCCCCTCTGAATGTATGAGTACGTGTTTGAAAAGTTCCCAAAATATAACACAGCATTCCTGTTTTAAAAGCGCTTTTCATACACGAGAGGCCTGGCAGGATGGAGACCGTGGCGATTCAAATCTGGAGAGCATTTCAAAATATGAGCCGTCGAAGCAGGAAAGCATTTGAAATGGGATTTTATGCAATTGGGCTTGACAAGTTTTCACCAACGTCGTCAAACTGCAGGCACCTCAAGTCATGCAAGCAGCCTGGAAATATAATAGTGCACTGTACTGTGACCCCCACAGCAGAGCCCCAGCTTGTTATTCCTGTATATGATACTGTATGCTGGAGCCGGCTCAGCGTGATTATTGAAAGAAAACACAAGGAGTAGATGGATGCCTGCTCAGTAATGAAACAGAGGGCTGTTTATCCAAGCTGTTAAATAAGGCTTCATGTACAACACCCCCCACCCTAACCTCACAGGGCCCAAAATCTCTCTCATCTGGAGAGCACAGTTTCCATTTTGAATGTCACGTCCCAAACTGCACATTACATCAAATTGTACTTAATGGCATCCAGACAAACTTTAAAGTCCGTCCAACATTTTCTCTCTATACACTCCTCACCCCTCCTCGCTCCTTATAGCCGAGAAAGCAATCTCTCCTTTCTCTGCTCCACATCTGGACTCCATTCCAGGTGGGGTACGGAGCGAGGAGAGAACACGGGGACGGAGAGGTGAAGAGCACAGAGGCCTGGGAGTGTGAAAACAAAAATTGAGACGCGGTGTTTATTTGATTTTGGTGGAAGTTGTGCACTTCTTTGACAGATATGACTAATGGAAGATCATGAAAGATCCACTGAGGGTGCAGAATGTTTACATTTCCTCCAAATCAGACAACTGAGCAGGAATAAGTTGAGAAAAGCGTCCTAGTTATGGACAGAATGAGATTGAGGAAAAGTGTGGGATTGTGTTTCTGTGAGAGGATAAACAAAAGAAAAGGTTGAGCCAGAACACTTCCCCTGCTGCCAAGCTGTTTTCCTGAGAAGCCCGCGACACCTAGTGGAGGAAGGAGCAGGGCCCTGCAGCATCTCAGCAAGTGGTAGAGCTGTTTTCTTTAGCTCTGCACTTTCAGCACTGTATTACACTGGGGCAACGATTGCACAGGAGTTAAGTGTTCACCTCGTAATCAGAGGGTTGCAGGTTCGAGCCCCGCTCAGTCTGTCACTATCGTTGTGTCCTTGGGCAAGACATTTAACCCACCTTGCCTTATGGTGGTGGTCGGAGGGACCGGTGGTGCCTGTGAACAGCAGACTCGCCTCTGTCAGTGTGCCCTAGGGCAGCTGCGGCTACATTGTGCCTTGGGGAGTTCCAGGACTCGAGAAGATATCAAATATGGGCCGTTTACCATACACTTGGCCGCACTGGTGGAGCTGTTTCTACAGTTTGTTTAGCTTTATTTCTCAATTGCAAACTTTTACTGCCCTTGATAAGTGGCTGATAGCTTATAGAAATTTTATTTATTAATCTGTAATACTTAATAAACCATTAATAAGTGTTTATTATGCATTAAGGGAGAGAAAGACAAAACTGAGTTATTGCAAAGTAGTTAGCCTAACATTTTCATCTGTTAATTTAAAGTGAAAAAGACCATCCTCCCAATGTCTGATAAAGGGGATGATGCACCGATCATCGTGTTGTTCTTTACCTACAATCCGGTTTGTTCCAGACGCTCCTTTTAAAACTCATCACTCTGTATTCTTCTCTGAACTGGCCACCATTGTACTCCAGTTGTCCATTGGTTTATCCCTCATGTAATCCTCTCATTTTCTAGCATTTCTACTTGTGCACAAGAAAAGGCTGAAACAAAACTCCTTATAGAAATATTATATAATATTTCATAAGTTCCAATTTTTATGTGATTTTCATCCTTAGCTTCAGCTCTCACAAAGCATTATAAAATATGTGTGTGTTTCTAAGACCTAACCCCTTTATTGCCAGGTTTATTATCAAATCCAGAACTATGAAAAAAAATATAGTGTGTTTTGTCCAGAGGACCTGTTTTGGGGGTGAATTGTTGCTGCCTTGGAGTGTCACAAATGGGCCTAAACATAGTTTTTGTGTAATGTCATATCTTCTAAAAAAAAGCCAATTGTAATCTTTCTGCAGAAAAAGTCCCAACTTTTTTTTTTACATGGATTATATCCTTGGTTTCAGTCTTTTTGTTACAACCCAGGCATCCAGGGGACCTGGGGCAACACGGAGGACGAGTGACTCTGTGATAAAATCTAACAGTTGTTTTATTTTAGGCATTCTTTTCTTTTAATTTGTTTCTTTGTTTCCCCAAAGGTCACAACACAATAATGACAGTGGCACAGGAGTTAAGTGCTCGCCCCATAATCGGAAGGTTGCAGGTTAGATCGCCGCTCAGTCTAGTGGTGGCCAGAGGGACTGGTGGCGCCTGCGTACGGCAGTCTCGCCTCTATCAGTGCACCCCAGGGCAGCTGTGGCTATAGCGTAACTCATCACCACCAGTGTGTGTGAATGGGTGGATGACTGATTGTGCTGTAAAGTGCCTTGGGGGGGTCCCAAGACCCTAGAAGGCACTATATCAAATAGAGGCCAATTAATTAATGAACTGAGACGGGTCTTTGTTCAATAATAACAAGCTTTAAACAAGAGAGCTCTGAAAGGACTCTCAAAGTACCACACCGAACAATACACCTTGTCTTATCCTTAAACAGTCCTTTACACACGCTAACAAAATATCAAAGTCTGAAATGGGAGACAGCAGGCCGGAGGAAAGGCAGCTCTGAACTGTTGCTCTTCTGGTGTGCTCCAGCAGGTCCTTTATGCAATCAGCATAATCAGCTGCATTGCCAGGTTTATAATAAAAACAAAAAGGTAAACACATTTTTTTAAAGTTTGCTTTTTTTGTGTGAGTTATGTCTAAATGGTTTGCTATATGGGTGAATGTTTAACACCTTGTGTCACAAACGGGCACAAAAATGTTGATTTGCCTTTGTGTATGAAATGTGCTACGTAAATAACGCCGCCTTTTTATTTTTTCTATGCAGTGTCAGTTATTGCTCAGCTATGCATGGGGACAATATGCAACAGAAGACAATAAAACATAAAAATAAGTCTGTGGCTGGTCTGGGAACCCAACAACAATAAAAGCTAATATTTATGCTTATTAAAAAATCTTTTCATGGAAGTCAATAGAAAAAAATAATGAACGCTATAAAACCCTTTCAGCATTTTATTAATTTTCCTAGAGACCGGGATCTTAACGATATATGCTGCCGTCACTCAGACTGATTAACATTCATCTATGGCTGCTAATAAAAATACCATAAGATTAATTCATGTGTTTGTAAATGTGTGATTTTTGTATATTTGTGTTATTTTATCATTTGTTTTATTATAAAGTCCCATTTTCTTCTCAGGCCAGGGCTGTAAATGAGGAATTTGTCCTTAATCTGTTTTTTGTCTGGTTAAATAAAGGTTAAAACAATCTAGAGTTATTATTAAACATTTCAGACTAAGTTTCCACCTAATAAGTACTATAAACATTTCCTAACATAATTTTTTACCATCTATTACCACACCATCACTGTATTATGAATATAAACTGATTTAAAGGTACTGGTGTTGTAAAGTGGTACATGGTTTTCTGGATGTGGTAACTTAGATGGTATATCTAAACTATTGTTTTTTTAATTAAAAATTGTTTTATTATTCAACAGTAAATTAATATTCGTGTCATTTGCTACAGGGCCAAATTGTGACAAAAAAGTTTAGTGTGTTACAATGCTGCCCCCCTCTGATAAGCAGGTAGTAATACACACTAGTTGTACTTGAACGCATGCCCAAATTAAAAGCTACTGACAGTTTTAAATGTTTAGTCTCAGCTGTAACTCACCACACCTTAATACTACAAACTACTTCTATCTTGGTACAATTATTACATATAAATGAATCGACCAATCAGCTTGCAGGTTAGTTTTGCTTTGAGAATGTTTTATGGAAAAGAAAAGTACAAGAAAAACCAAAATGGTACATAAAAATGCAATTAAACACTTTTCTTCTATTTAATTCTGGTTTATGAGTGACTACCATTCATAGAAATAGATGTCAATTAGGTAACTATAATCTGCTTGTACTTATGAGCTGTGAAGATGTGATTTGAAGGAATAATTGAATTAAAGACTGAAACACATCTGAATTGGTCCCAAATACCATCAACTACACCAAAATTAAGCTTCAGCTTGTGCAATTTTATTATATTCCAAAAAAAATGTGAACATTAGGTTCATCTCTGAGTATTGCTGTAACCGGACACGTGTAGCATCATAAATTCATCTGACACCTACTGTCCTGTGCACACAATATGATCTATAATATATATTTTTAACATTTCCATCACAAGAATATCAAAAAAAAACTTTTGCATACTGAAAATATATCAAGTCCCTCAAAAATCTACAAAACAGCCCATCTTTTTTTCTTTTCTCCAAATTCTTACAACACAAACAGATGGTCTTTGGTCTGGATCTAGCAGAAAACTCATTTTGTTTCCAAACACTTGGCTCCCATCTTCCTTTTACTTTCTTGCTCAGGTACTCACACACACACACTCACGCGCACACACACACACTCACGCGCACACACTCTCACTCACACACACACGCACGCACACACACACACTCAACCAAATAATGGGAAGGCATGCACACCTCTGCCTTTACAATCATGCACTCATATCCACTCACACAGCAGAACATGGCTAACACGGCATGCAGACTTGGTTAGATATTGGTCCCTTTGTGTCAACAGAAAAATCAAATGGTGATCTTCATCCCTGGAGTTGGTGGCATTGATGTCTGATAATTGTTGCTGTTAACAGGCCTGTTGATCATGATGTACTGCAGAGGCTGCACCACAAAAACCAAAAAAGCCCCCGTTCTTATAAAATAATATGAAAGTATATCATAGTAGAGCAAATATGAATAAATGTGATCGGAAATGAATCTAAAGGTCTGCCCCGCTGTAGCATCCCAAAGTCAATAACCAAGTCAGACGGGGTGATGTTTCCACAGCACTCTTTAACCAGAGGAGGCCGGCTCATTGGCGGGGGGACACAGTGGCTTGGAGGGAGGTTTCTGGGCCCTGGTACCTCTCTTTGGCATGCTTCTCACAATACATGACATCTCCGACCCAAAAGTGACCTCTCATCTTCAGGTTGAGCCCACAATCTGAGCAGGTGTAGCACTCTGGGTGGAGGAAAGTGTCTTCCCTGATGCGCACCGCACATGTGCTGTGGAGACAAGCAAAGTCCGACACCAGATTAACACATAAATAGATCTGACAGGATAAATTCAAGTGATTATTTTAATCCAGACCATAACAAAAATGTCAAAAATAGTCATTTTATTTGTTGTTCTTTCTGTTCTTTTCCATTTACCCCACGCTTTAATTGATGCTTCGTTAGACTATGCTTTCTGGAGCTGGACATTAAAAGTTTTTAAAATCTATAAAAAGCAACACGTAATCTCCTGCAGTTGTCCATTTATTAACTACTGTTTCACACAAGGATGATTATGCTGTCGGACAAGTCAAACCAATGTACAAAAAATCTAGGCAGTCCACATTATCACACAGATCCAAGCCTCCAGTGAGACTTACAGAATTTTGTTGCCACACTTCTCACAGGTGTGGTGTTTGCTGACTCCTCCAGATGACTGTTTAGGGGTGTTGGGGGAAAGCTTCCCTGGAAACTGCAAGGCTGCCTCTGGAAACACACCCAGAACACATGAGCTGCTAACGCAGATGTTCCCTTTCAGTGAATCCTGTCCTCCACTCATCACCCACAGGACACACCTCATGAAACACACAGCATCAGTCATTAACACATCATAAAAGAATGTCAGAACTCAACGGTTTTGTCAAAGCCATGAGGGAGAAGAACGACACTGGAGGGGTATTCCCTCCACCCAGAACAGGTAGAAACCAAAACTGATGTGAGGAAATCGCACTCTTATTTTCCTTGATGCAAACTAGACTGGAGCGGAGTCACACCCAGGGAACAAGAGTAGGAGGGGATGTAAATGATGTTACTTGGACACAAAACGTGAGTCACCAATGCTTATTCTACAGTAATAATCTTTATCATTATTGAGTTAATATAATAAAACCCTCTTAACCTCTACAGATTTTTATTTAGATCATTTTGTGACATTATCATCGTCTTCAAATGAGACATATTACGACTTTCTAAGGTCATAATAGTTCTATTGTCAACAAAAACACATGACGTTCTTTGAATAAAATCTCTACCATAAAGCAATTTCAGCTGTTTTAATCTCAACATTTTTAGTACCTTCCAGACTGAGCCATTTCAAGGCCACACCCACCCATCCCCTTTGCCCAGGCTTCTATTGACCCATTGCACCTACATCTACTGATCACGCAGGTAAACCAATATGATGATATTGGTTGGCAAAAGCATGTAAACCGTGAGCGCTAAAATTACTAAACAAAGGGAAAAGTTGTGCCCGGGATTGTTTTTGTTGTTGTTGTTTTGCAATGTTTAGCATGGCTTCAACAAGTTCAAGCCCAGTTCAGTTATCGGAATAAGTAGCACACCTAGGTGGGGCAACAGTGAATTACAAGTGTGTTGAACAGAGAGGAAAAGTGGCGACTGAGGTTGTTTTATTTCCAGTTTAGCCTGGTTTCTACTGGTTCAAGCCCAGTTCACCTGTGGGAAGACTTAGCACACCGAAGTTGGGCTCATAGAGAGCAGTGTTTGCTAAAGTTATGTGTTACCTAGCTTGTGAATGTTAGCTTCTATTCTACCAGCTGCTGGTCACCAATGTAAACAAGTTGCCGACATTGCCAGAATTCACCCTGCTGGGTTTATAATAGGGATGTCCCGATCAGGTTCTTTGGCTCTCGAGTCCGAGTCATTTGATTTTGAGAATCTGCAGATACCGAGTCCCGATTCGATACTTTTGATACATAGAAAACGAGTAAAGAAAGCAAAGAAACAGATCCAGAATGTCCCATATTTTTATTAAATTTACTTTATTCTAACATTTAACAACTATGTTAACAAACGGATCACTTCTGTGAGATTGCTTGAACAATCAAGTAATTAATAGCATTAATCCTTCACTTTTGAACTTCATTGCATTTATAAAGTCCAATACTAAAACAAATAGCAACTCTACATAAAAACCAGGCAGGGGTCTATTTTGCCTTGACCCTCAAAATGCCTTGATACGTCCCTGGGCATGGGACTGAGTTTTGAAGTTGATCTGAATTGTGTCAAATAGATAAATACTGCATGCAGATAAATTATTGCTTTATAAAGGTAAAAATGAGTAGTGGGATCAAACTACCTACATTTTATTTTTCAAGAGCTCTGTTTTGTTTTCTTGGTTTTTATTTACCTATTTTTGTGTTGCGTCCATCTCGGATCTTCCTGCATCTCCTCAGTCCCACAGAAAACCTGCTGCCTGCTTCCTCCTTTTTCACCACACAAGTTACTTCTTAACCAAAAGGATCAAATGGATCTACTGACTGCTATAATAGTAGAGAGTGCGCTGCCCGGCCGCACCAGTGACGTGGAGTCACTGGACCATGGGCGATGAACGCTGCAGCGGCAGAGCGAGTCTATACGCATCAGTCTCGAATAAAAGACAGAAATTACCAGAGAGAAAATGAACGGACATGAACGATTGTTTGTTAATTATATATTTTTTGGGTGTCGCCACTTTGAAAATCTTGCTGTTTCAGTGTGGAGGACGCAGCTGCCTGGAGTGCATGAATAGCTCACAAGAACCCCTGCTACACTAGGGATCCGGACTTTTTAAAAATCAGCTTTGGTGTAAATGGAAACGCTGTTTACAACATAAAGTTATAAATCCAGAGGGGTGAATTTAGGCAAAGACGGCAACATGTTTACATCGGTGAACAGCTGCAGAGAAAACGTAAGCTAACGTTGGTAAGCTAGTTAACATACCGCTTTCCATGAGCCCCGGCTAGATGCGCTACTTCTTCTGAAAACTGAACTGGGCAGGAACTAGTTGAAGGAATGCTGGAGGAGTTTTGTTTTTGTCTTGATCACAAAAACAATTTCAGGCTCTACTTTTTCCTTTGTTTAGTACTCGTGTCGCTCACTGTTTACATGCTTTTGCCATCCAGCATGCTGGACCCATGCGATTAGGTGACGCCAGTGCAAAGGGTCAATATCGGGATGGAACGCCCGATCCGAGTCTGAAACCACGTGATCGGGACATCCCTGGTTTATAACATTACATGATAAACAGCGTTTCACTTTACACTGGTGCTGATAAAAGAAAACTAAGAAAAGGTCTGGACCCCTACTAGTTTTCTGCTGGTGGGGTCACCGGGTTGAGATGCTACTCTCACACCAGGATGAGACAAGATATCTCATAACAGCAACACTCATGATAAATAAATAATGTAACTTTAACTAACTAATCCTACACTGGAACAGCATTATTATAATAAATAATGATCTTGCATTTCATTACAGTGGACGGTAATGCACATTCTCCTCAGTGAAATATAGGATTATCAATATAAACACATCACATTTATCATTTCAGGTCCATCACAGTCAGCCCCTGTCTTCCTAATAAAATATATGCATGTTAATCTGAGTTTGTGACATCACAAATGGGGACTTTTTGAAACAGCTTATTGTTGCTACATAAATCCTAAAACCAAACACTGACAGAAACTGGATGGATGGATTTTTTTCATGTTTGGAGTGCTTACAGAGGACGTAGATTCCCACAAGGCAGCACAAAATTCTGCAAAAGGTGAGATTTGCTACTTTAATAATTACTGAATTCAGTTTGTGCCCCACCTTCGAGAACTAATTCACTCTAACCTTTCTCATCAGCCTCCAGAGCTTCTTGTAACGCTTTAAAGGCATTGGACTGACGAGGAGCAGCGCGGGACTCCTTGTTCTCCTGGATCATCTTGTACACCTCTGAATCTCTGTCGAACTTCTGCATGGCAAAGTCAGAACTGGAGCTACTGTAGAGAAGAATAGCGACACATTAGAGGTTCTTACATACAAGACTGCACAAAAGAAGCAAAGAGCAGAAACCTTTTAAATCACTAAAGTAATATAATGAAAAGAAAGACCTAAAAGTCAAAATAATGATAACACAAAATTCAACATTAATTATATTAATGTTTAGGACAGCTTATGTGTCTAACGAAGCATGATTGCTGAACTTTCCACCTTGTTCTATAGTCTAAACCCACAAAAGGAAATGCAACATACACATATGCACGCACACGCACACACGCACACGCACACGCACACACACACACGCACACACACACACACACACACACACACACACACACACACACACACACACACACACACACACACACACACACACAACAAACTCTACAGCCATGGGTGTTCGTTCCTGTTGGTAGGAACCAGTTGGACGGGAATTCTTCGGTTAACACAGGTGTGGTTGTCAACTCATCAGTCAGAATCTGTCAACTGGACCAGATGGACTGTCCCACCTGTTGTCCCTCACTGCAGGATGCTAGTTGTCAACACACACCTGCTGTGTGAAGAACTTACAAGTCAGTGACCTCATCAGTAGCACCGTGGTTTCTGCACACTCCCTTCACCCCATCAGGCAGCATGTTCAACTCAAATGTTACAAAACAACACATTTACAACATAAAGGGCCTTTTTATTTTTATTATTCCTTCATCAGACCCGAGGTCGGGAGTCTCGTCCGTCCCCAGCTCTGAAGTGTCACTCCTCTAGTTAGGACAATTAAACCCAAGTTTTCAACGCCAAACAACAACCGTTGAAACAGGTGACTGGTTTTGGTCTTGTTGATAAACAGCAAGGTCCAAATGACTCTATGAGGATGGATGGGTTGACTCGTGGTTCCATCTGCAGCAGCAACAACTTAAAAAAGTTTTTCAGATCAAAATATGAAACATCATCAAGAAAACACGTCTTCTATTCACCGCTCGAGGAAACATTGTGGCTCACGTATGATTTTTTAGCAAATATCAAATATGTTCAGGAAGATTTCTAAGCTCCGTCCACTTAAAACACGAGAATGTAGTGAGATTTAGTCTGAACTGTATTTCAGCAGCAGAAGTCTGTTTCCCACTATAATCGGGCCTCAACAGGACAAAACAGAAAACAAATATGAGGGTGAAACAATATGCTCTCGGCCTTTCCTCTGCATCAAGGTTCAAATTGAAAACAGACTTCTGAAGCACAGCCTCCAAGTTTTCCACATGTACAACTCCACCCTCAGCTAGCTATTTCCCCCTTTTCCTCCCACGTTATTACATGCAGTCTCAAACAACTCAGACATCTTTGACAAACAGGAAGAAAACTGTAGATCTGACAGTAAAGAAGGAGGCTAATTATTATATTTTAATCACCTGTGAACTAATTGGGCATTTGCTGAAGATTTAATGAAGTTTTGTTTTTCAATCTGAAGGTATGCAGCTGTGTGAATTAGCTGCAAGTGCAACAGATGTGTTTTTGGCTTCCATAGCAGCCCAGAGGGACCAAAGACAACCATCTAGTCAAAGCAGGGACTGAACATGAACGCAGTATGAACACATCTGAGATCTCAGAGCTAAATTATGAAACCTCCCGTACAACAATTAAAAACAACATCTGCTGAGAAATTTTACCTGGATGAGAAACTGATGACAAGACTCACCTCTGAATGGAAACAGTCACAAAACAAAGAGATGCTAAACTTCAGATGTGACAACGTTCTGTTGATTCTAATGTCAACCTCAAGAGGAAAAGCACAACAGCACACACACTTAAATACAGAACACACACCTCTATCTAAGCAGCCAGGGAGAAAAACAAGATTGTGACTGAAAGGTGTGCCCCGGGGCTTAAACTCATTGGCTACACAGCAAAAAGAGGCGGGCAAAAGGGTGTCACAGAGCTTCTTATTGGCTGGAGAAGAACAGGGACAGGCCTGCTGAGCGGGGTAGGGGCTCCAGACTGGGGGCCGATCAGGGGTGAAGTAACTGGTCTTTTTTGGGAATATAAGATTTGAGGATAAGACTACAGCTGCTGACACGTTTCTATTGCTGGCTGTAGTTAGTTACCCAATGGGGAAAAACTAGGGCCAAAGTCAATCATCCTCCATTATGAAAACACCAGCTTCTCTAGCAGGACCTGTAGTCACAAAGGATTCCAAGATGACTGAAGAAAAAAATATGTTGTTATTTCTATGAAGACAAAATAGTTTCCAAGCAAAGTCCAGAGGGCAGCATTAGCACACTGGAAGGCCACAAACTGATTTGTACTCAGTGACTCCAAAGAGCTGTTTGTGCAACCAAAGGTTAACAATCAACAGTGGTGAATTCACCAGCTAAACAACAAAATCACTGATTCAATCAACTTGATTCAATATGCATTTTAAACATGAATTAGAATGAAAAATACAAATAAAACAAAACATTTCCAAAAGATGCAACTATTTCTACTAAAATCTTTTATAATGGCCCAAAATCAACCTTTATCGCGCTAATATGGGTCATTTTTAACTACAGAGTGGAACATTTTCGATGATAATTTTTCTGAACCAATACCTCACACCCTATAATCTCCATTTTTATAAGCGACTTTCTCAAGTGCAACACAACCCTGAACCTTTCTTTGAAACGCTGCATGTGGGAACCCATCTAATCAAATTAACATTTATTTAGCTGAAGCCCCAGGGAGGTTCAAGGATGGGATGGGTGCGCCGTATTTGATTGCAGAATTCAAAACTGACAAAATCTGTTGATCACCTAATTTACTGGAAGTAAAACAAAGTGACACATTCCTTCACTCTGCACACCTGACAGTTATTATATTGTGTATAAAGTTAATACTAATAAAGTCATTCTGCACTTCGTTTGTAACCCAATTCGTAGACATGAACATACTAGTGCTGAAAACCAAGTCATTAACAAGCTTTTGAAGAACTTTGTGACCTACTGAGCAGATTCACCAATCATTTAAATGAGGTGTTTTGGTGCAGTGGAGTAAAATCTGTATTTACCTGCGTCTGGGAGACATGGGTACGTCCTGGTCGATGGGGCTGTGAGGCGAGTAGCGTCCTGGTGGAGTTGGGGTCCTGCTGGACACAGAGTGATGTCTGAAGTTTGGGGGGAAGAACTCCTGAGAGGGAGAGGAGACTCGTGATTAAGGAGAGTTTCATGAAATGACATACAAACCATATAAAGTAGCAATTCAGAGATTTCCCCATTTCAGGAATTATGTATGACTTTTTAGAAATCCGCAAAAGCGATAGTCTTACCCTGTACTGTGATATAATCTAGGCAACAAGTCAATTTTGTTTTGCTAAACCCGCGCCCGTTATGTAGAGCCATATATAATTTAGATTAGGGATGGACAATATATAGGCATCAATATCAGTATTGGCCGATGTTAGTCATTTTTTAACACATCGGTATCGGTCTGATAAATAAAAACGGGCAGATATTAACAACCGATATTTTTTCCATCTGGTCTCCATTTGTTTACCTGTTTCGAGGAGGTAATTGTTTTGTCACGTGAACAGTGAATGAAATCATCTCAGAACCATAAATATGTGTGTTATGTGTACATAATAACATAAATTCAGCTTTAATAATTTTCATTCTATACAAATTCTGCTGATTTTAGAAGCATTAATTTCAGTATATATTGGTATCTGCAAATATCGGTTATCGGCCATAACAGTGATCTTAATACTGGTATCGGCCTAAAATTTTCTTATCGGTGCATCACTAATTTAAATTGAGCGCTGTTCAGCATTAGCCAATAGCGTTAGACATTTATCTACATACAGATGTCAATCGCAGAGCATGTTCAAGGTTTGTAGAAATACCTAGGCCGACGCAGAGTTGGCGACATTTCTTCTGGACAAGTAAATCTTTAATATATACATTCCAAGCTCGGATCCTCTACCAGAGGCCTGGGAGCCGGAGAGTTCTGCAGTATCTTAGCTGTTCCTAGAACTGCACTTTTCAGGACTGAGATGTCTGATGTTCTTCCTGGGATCTGCTGTAGCCACTCCACCAGTTTGGAGGTTACTGCCCCAAGTGCCCCGATGTCCACGGGCACCACCGATGTCTTCACTCTCCAGGCTTTCTCAAGTTCTTCTTCAAAGCCCTGGTACTTCTCTAGTTTCTCATGTTCCTTTTTCCTGATGTTGCATCACTTGGTATTGCCACATCAACCTCAACGGCTGTCCTCTGTTTGTTCACCACCACAATGTCCGGTTGGTTAGGCATCACCTGTTTGTCAGTCTGAATCTGAAAGTCCCACAGGACCTTGGCTCGCTCGTTCTCTACCAAGTTAGAAGGTGTTACCCACTTTGACCTTGGGGCTTCCAGCCAATTGGTTGTGGCATTCCATGTATGCTTTCTCTGCCAGCATCTTCAGACATTAAGGACAACTACAAGCCCCTTGGTATCCCACAAGCAAATGGCAACTTACGAAGCCGCAAGGAAAGGAGCTACAGCCAAATACCTACAACAAGTAAGTCCTAAGAATTCAGCTGAATAAAAACATAGCACATGAAAAATAATTGTAAACTAGTGTGTTTTAGTTCTGTTGCCTGGCTAGGTGAGTATTCACGAACTACAGCTGTTGCTCCTACCTAAATCACGAAATTAAGGAGTGGGCATTTGTTGCAATACACTTTTCAGCCTCTAGATGGTGGCCTCAGAGAAAAATACTTTGGATTTCTGCTTTAATTGTGATGCAAAGCAGCAGAAAACAGACCCAAGAGTCAGGAATTCAACATCTTCTGAATAATCTCTAGGCATGGAAAGGCAGATTTAAACGTCCTATTAAGAACGGTGAAAATGGAGAAAGACTACATGCCAATCAGAAGAAGTCATCCTGTTTAACTGAAACCTAAAAACGTTTGTTTCAGGTTTGTGTTGCAAAAGCAGCACATGGCCATTGTTTCATTGTTTGATTCGACGAGTTTCTGTTGCACTAGTCACACCCAACTTTCTTCTCTTAAAACCCGGCTGTTCCAGTTAACTAGTCTCATTTAGAGTATTTTCCCTTCACTGTTTGTTCTCACGAAATTATTAAAAAGTAAAAAACATTCTATATAAAAAAGACTTGCTTGACATTGTTTGGTTTGACTGAAGAGGGCGCCACACACCAACTGAACACAACCAGGCCCCAAACAAAAGCCTCAACACTACTGGTTCACTGTTCCAGTAGTAAACCAAATCAGAAACAGATACTTGTATTATTACCTGTAAGAAGTGATTTATTTAACACCATGAGAACACGTAAGTGGGCTAATCGTGGAGATGACAAAAGCCACAAAGCACTGAGAACATTAAGGCCAAGTCTGCACGGTCTGTATATCATCAGAGACACATTTACGGTCAGGAATCCCACGAAAACAACGCTCATGGTGTTTAACCATGTCCACCTGTAGAGCTGACCACTTCCTGATCACAAAGACCTAACTCATCCACTTTCAAACCAGCAAGAGGTTTACTAAAGGGACATGTTTGCATTATGAGTTTGTGGACGACTCATGAACACATCTCTCACAGTGAGTTTTCTTCTTTCAGCCATCACCAGCTGGCATCAGCGCTACCCAGCCCATCCAAGAAAGGAACGGCTCCACCCGACTCTAACCAGTCTGAGGCTTGAGTCAGAGCTCACGCTGGAGCTCAGTGTCAACACAGTGGCATGGATAAAGTTAAATATTTGTGTCCAGTGCCAGCACCCGCTTCCAATTCAAAAACTCTTTAAACAACCTTTCTGTTCTCAATCAAGTCCAATGTTCCCCATCTTTTTCCTTAGCAAGTGGGCAGATTAGCAGGGAATGCCAGGAAGCCTTTGGCAGAAACGGCCATTCGGATGGCTCCCGGTGGTTTCTCCTCAGATAAACCTGCTACAATAACTCAAGGCTCATCAGATCATGCTTTTTATGTTAATGTTAAATGAACCTAAACCTAACCCTCACAGCATAGAAACTGAGATCTTCACACACTCTCCTGCTGTGAAGCAATCTAAAGAACATTTACACGAGGAAGATTTACGCTTTAGAGAGGAAAACCAAGAGAAGACCAATGCATCCGCACTAATACAAACCAATTGCGTCTTACATAAGTGTCTGGCTTCTGACAGACGATCTTCAGGCTTTCCAACTGCACACGCCTTTGCAGATAGAAATCACAACTGTGATCTATTGGACTCAAGAGGAATGGAAGCAGTTGACAAAAACAACACAGAACAGGGAGAACAAGGTCCAACTCTGCAGAAATTAAACAAAGCTCCCATCAAAATGTTCTATTCTCTAAAGCCAGAGGTTCACCACAGCAGCCATGGCACAGTTGGCATGAACTTCCAGTCTGATGAAAACTGATTATCGTTTCATTCCAAGTCATCAACTCATTATTCATTAATGCATTTGATAAACTGCAACATGTCAACAATGAACCAGCTGAGGGAGGGGCACAGGAAAAGTGAGGAAAGACTTTTATTTTTCCTTGGATAGTAGCATGGACATAGATGGGAGAGAACACTGAAGGACATCAGCCAGTTTTCAGCGGTTGTTGCGGCTGCCAAGAGGAGGAAGCTTTGATTAAAGCTGCACTGAACTCTAATCAGGAGTTCATAGTCAACAGACCCAGGATCATTAGGGCAAGTCACTGGTATGCTGCACTGGGTTTAAGCTGCACATACAGTAAAACATGCATCTGGCATTCAGATTGAAGCTGCAAACCTGAAGCGTGTAAAACAGATTCAGTTTCTTTTTGTGTGTGTGTGTAATTAATAGCCATTTACCAGCAACATCAGAAATTAAATTAAAGCTGCAATGCCGAATTTAGAAAACTAATTAGCTTACAACATTTTTCATGCTTCTGAACAATGTTTTAATATAGCATAGCTATAAAAATATTGTGGAGTTTAACAAAAACAACAAATTAATAATTAAGTGGTTCTCTTGCATTTGTCTAAAACCCACTAATAACAGGCTTCGGACCATCCTATTGTTGGTCTCGGGTTAGGGTACCTTAACCCGAACAGCCACACTTCTCTGGGTCCTCCACTCATTACACACTCCTGTATTTAGTAACAAAACACGACTGGTGTGAGAGGTTCTCCGCTCAATAACATCAGAGAAGGAGAAACAGGCGGCTGCTACCACTTCAACTTTCGGACAAACTACCAGAGTCCCAAAAAGAAATGCACCCTTTGAAGTCATGGACATCCAAAAACGTTTGGACCTAGAAAACGGCGACTGGTGTTTGGCGCTGTGTCGTTTCCTCCGGAAACACAGATTTCTGGTTCAGGCAGAGGGAAGATATCGGAGGGGGTGAGTGTTCACATTCAAAGCCTAACTTGTTTGCATATTCATAACATCTTGAAACAAAAATGCCTACAATTTCTGAACTTTCCAGAAGATGCCTGCAGTACAGTATTTAGTTCAACTATGACAAATCGCAGAACTCTTGAGATTTAATTGAGCAGATAGACAGGGTATTAATATACATGACTCTGTATGAAAATATTTTTTAAAAATACTTCACATATTTCTGTGCTTGAACTGATAAATTTCCAGCAGACATGTCTCTTTAGACTTATGCAAACAAGAAACATGTCCCACTGTGGGACTAAATAATATAATAATAATAATGCATTGAACTTATATAGAGCTTTTCTAGACACCCAAAGACGCTTTCACACACTCTCACAGTCACACTCTGCTAGTGATGGTAAGCTACTTGTAGCCACAGCCACCCTGGGGAGGTCTGACAGAGGCGAGGCTGCCATTTGGCGCCGTCGGCCCCTCTGACCACCACTAACACAGGCAAGTTGGGTGAAGTGTCTTGCCCAAGGACACAACAGCAGGATACCTCTGGCGGGAGCTGGAATCTAACCCATGACCCTCCGATCATGAGGCAACCCGCTCTACCACCTGAGCTACTGCTGCCCATTGCAGCAAAATACACAGCAACCCTAAATCATGGCTCTGCAGCATGGGCTCCACACTACAAGGACCTATCTAAACACCAAACTGAAGGACTTGTACACTTGTAGCGTGTCTAAAGTGACCATTAACTTGAAGACTCTGATAACACAACCATGTCACTTACTGAAGGGCCACCTCAGCTTAAAAGTATGTTATTAAG